GATGAACGAGCATCGCGAACTTCATAGTGCAATTAATATTTATACATGTAGGTGAAAGTGAGGGAGTATTGTTTTACGCCGCTTGTAGCAATATTCCAGTGGAAGGACACTAGAAATGGGCTTCACACATTGTACCCATGTGGGGAATCGAACCCGGGTCTTCGGCGTGACGAGCGAACGCTTTAACCACTAGGCTACCCCACCGCCCCTGTAGGTGAAAGGGTTTAGGTAGGCTAACATCTAGTCTCTGAAATGAACATGTTTTACAGGGGGGAAACTGTTTTGAAAAATATAATATTATGAAAAGGAGCCCAGAGGCTATTCATTTCAACAGTTTCAGTGAAGTGAAGAAAGTCGCAGGGCTCCTTTTCATTATATTTTATGATTATTATTTATGAACCGTTTATTTTCTGTAAAGTATGTTCAGAGACTGATGTTTGTCTACTATAGAAGTCACTGTAATATATTGGTTTTGTGTAACCAGAGATATTATAATCTATTATATGGTCTCCGGTGTAACCTATAGCCTCGAGCCTCGATGGGGTAATTCAATCAGGGTTATTCACTGGATGACCCCATGGCGGCTCTCGTCTACTCCACCATCAGCCGACACGTCGTGGTGTAACTGTAACACAATCCAAGCGGCAGAGAGGTCAGAGCAACACATATCTTGATGGCAGTTTCAGCAACCGGAATATCCATTACAGAATCAACATGTCTGACACGGAAACAGATCCTTGCCTGTGGGAATAAACGCATTGTTTTTAGAACCAGACAGCCCGTGTATCATCACGGAAGTCATTCATGACTATGGCTTTGTTTTGAACGCAACTGGATACTGGCAACGCTTAAAGCAGCACAGAACTGGAACTACATCCGTTAACGTCAGAAATATATAATGTGACGTCACTTCCTAACATGATGAGGATGTGATATAACTGAAATAACTTTAAGGATCGTATCCTTACGCCCTCTCAGGGCGTTAAGGTAGGAGTCTTTTAGCTTTCGCTCGTCACGCCGAGCACCCGGGTCGATTCCGCACATGGGTACAATATGTGAAGACTATTTCTGGTGTACTCCGCCGTGATATTTCTGGAATATTAATTAAAGCGGCATAAAATCTTACGCCTTTAAAGTTGTGAAGTACAATACTGACAAATATTGACAAGTATATTTTGTGTGCGACGTTTGGCGATATGTTTCCCTGCTAGATAACGGTACAAGTATCTGTTCCGAAACGTCGTTCTAACAAAATGAAAGAAATTGTCATCAATAAATTTGTCAGTATTGTAAAATCTACCTTATTCACTCATAAATATCTATCCATGTAATGCTCTTTTAGCTTTGGCTCAGTTGGGGAATTGGCCACACGAAAGACTGGGTTCGATTCCCAGGTCAGTTTCAATTGGCAGCTCGACTTCTTCTCCGGATACGGCTGACTGACCTGTATCGTTATTTCCTACATGGAAACGTTTGGATGTAAGAGTAAAGTTGTTTGGATGGTTTGCTGGTTAACGCCGCACTTGCAATGTTCCAGCTATATGGTAGCGGACTGTAAATAATCGAGTCTGGACCAGACAATCCAGTGATCAACAATATGAGCATTGATCTACGCATTTGGGATACGATGACATGTGTCAACGAGCCTGACCACCCGGTCCTTACGACAAGTATTAGTTACTGAAGATCAGTTCTATCCTGGATCTTCACGGGTTGTAAGGATTAAAGCTTTACAGTTAGGTAAAGACCTGTTTGTTTACAGGCCGCTGACGTATACAGGAGTAACACTGAGGGGCATCAGAAACAAATAGTTCCCTTAGCTGTATTTTGAGGGCGTTGCACACCCGATCGTAGCACTATGACAGTCTGTGTTAAAGTACTGGAGTTACGATCATCTTAGCTCTACGATCGCTTTGTGGGACGGGGCCCAGGACATGCCAACCCTGTTCGCGAACACCTGTCTCATTCTTTTATGTCCACCATTGTTTAGCCTTTTACGCGATCAGATTAGGGGTGGTGGGGTAGCCTAGTGGTTAAAGCGTTCGCTCGTCACGCCGAAGACCCGAGTTCGATTCCTCACATAGGTACAATGTGTGAAGCCCATTTCTGGTTTCCCCCGCCGTGATATTGCTTGAATATTGCCAAAAGCGCCGTAAAACTAAACTCATTTACTCACCAAAGTGGAAAGTGTAAACACGAAAAATTCAATTTCATGACGCGCACGTAAAATCGTCATATCTCCCCGTGCTTTCTGTAAAACGCCCGTCCGGTCACGCTCAATTTTACTGATCCTCAGAAATCGCCATATAAAGTTCATATTTCAAACAAGGGTAGTAAGATGATAAAGAAAAAAGGCTTGGGAAATAAATATGTAGTGAACAGGTTTCAGTTTTTACAGATGTCATGATACCTTGGGAGTTAGATTTAAATGAGAGATTGTGCAGTGAGAAGCAGAACCAGATCAGATCAACTCAACCTATTCCGTCAACAGCATAATAAACTCGGAGAAGCGATACTGCGTGACTTCAGACTTGCGTGAGTAAACCGCGTAACACAAGATCCTTTCTCATTTTACGCTACTGCACATTTCTATAAAAAGTTTGTTACACTTGTACCCGGAACCAAAAACGCTGTTCGTTATAGCGTGTTCGTTGTACACGATTGGGGAGGTGGGATAGCCTACTGGTTAAAGTGTTCGCTCGTCACGCCGAAGACCCGGAATCGATTCCCCACATGGGTACAATGTGTGAAGCCCATTTCTGGTGTCCGCCACCGTGATATGCTGGAATATTGTTAAAAGCGGCGTAAAGCCATAGTCACTCACTCGTTGTAATAAATTTGTATCTGAAGCGGCCTTTCAATCCATTATGTATCTCGGCGCTTTTAGCGATTTGTGATCGTCTAAGAGTTGTGATGTACAGACCCTGATCCGGTTTACTATTCCGACTATATCATAAGCATATGTCTACGAAGGAATATGTTTGTGATGATGCATTTTATTTGCTTGTTTTTATATATGTTGTGATTTACATCATGAATTAATCTTCAGCGATCCATGCTTGTCGTTAGAGGCGATTAACGGGATCGGGTGGTCAGACTCGCTGACTTGGTTGACACATGTTATCGTATCCTAATTGCTCAGATCGATGCTCATTCTGCTGATCACTGGATTGACTGGTCCAGACTCGATTATTTACAGACCGCCGCCATATAGCTGGAATATTGCTGAATGTGGCGTAAAACTAAACTCGCTCAGAAATGGTGGCTGATTAGGGCCATCGCTTTCTCGCCTTAAAATTCGGCAGCGAGAAAGCGATATCACGAGACGAGAAAGCGATATCACGAGACGAGAAAGCGAAAACGCGAGACAAGAAAGCGATAACGCGAGACGAGAGAGCGATAACACAGACGAGAAAACGATACCATGGCGCGATAAAGCGAAAGCGATATACCAAGGTGAAAAAGCGATAGAGCGAGATACCGATGGCCCTAATCAGTCACCATACTCGCACAACATTACGTTGAGGCACCCTGATGTAGCTGGTTTACTGTTCAGACCGGCGTAAAACCCAACTCACTCAGTACACGTCAAACGCAACAAGGACATTGTATGGTGGCCGAGGGGGACATCGCTTTCTCGTATTCAATCACGGCCGCGGGAAAGCGATGGCATGAGACGTGAAAACGCTTTCGTCTCATGTTATCACTTTCTCAGACCGCCTCCGTGGTTCGAGCGTCCGCCCGAAGAGCGGAAGGTCGCGGGTTCGATCCCCGGCCGCATGATACCGAAAGACGTGAAAATATGGTGCCTGGCGCTCGGCATTAACGGATACAACAAGGACTGGTCGGCTCGGAGTCAGTATAATGTATCTGAGTGGGGTATTCATGCTTAACTGCATGCATGCACGTCGTCATATGAGCCCAATATTCTTAAGTATGACGTTAAACTCAATTTCACCACCTCACCTCACCTCAGGGGGCGGTGGGGTAGCCTAGTGGTTAAAGTGTTCGCTCGTCACGCCGAAGACCCGGGTTCGATTCCCCACATGGGTACAATGTGTGAAGCCCATTTCTGGTGTCCCCCGACGTGATGTTGCTGGAATATTGCTAAAAGCGGCGTAAAACCATAACTCAACTCAACTCACCTCACCAACTCAACACTCAACTCAACTCACCTCACTCAACTCAACTCAACTCACCTCAACTCACCTCACCTCACCTCACCTCACCTCACCTCACCTCACCTCACCTCACCTCACCTCACCTCACCTCACCACACCACACCTCACATCACATCACATCACATCACATCACATCACATCACATCACATCACATCACATCACATCACATCACATCACATCACATCACATCACATCACATCACATCACATCACATCACATCACATCACATCACATCACATCACATCACACTGAAGGCCGAAATAGAATGCGAGAAAGAGATGTCCCCTCTCCGCCACCGTAGCCATGCATAAGTACATTCACAAGCGAAGCACACGCAATCTTTCTGATAATCTTAATAAGCGAAACACTTGAAGCACGAGCATAAATATATTTCTACGCGTGCTTGAAATTGCGCCTGGGGGAAAAAGGTCGGTCCATTATTTAACAGGGGACAGGTTTGACACAGAAATTTGATTATAATAAATATCTGATGTTATATCTCTACAAAAAAATAATCTTTATCAAGCTCACATAGAGCAGTACCATCGTTGTGAATGTAAAAAGACTAATGTCTCAGTGATTTGAATCCTATGAGGATCGACAGCTTACATTGAAATTCATCTACCCTTCTAACCTCAATGAGACTTCTCCAACGTGAAACATGCTACCAACAATCCTCGCACAATGATTATATATGATTCATGTTTTGTGAAACACCAGCCTTGGAGCATGCTTTTCGAGGCGAGAGTGCTATCCATCCAGACAATTCTTACATAACATGCCACAGTGACTTAGATCAGATCACTGAGATCACTGAAGAGTGCCGACGTATAATTCTGACAAAGCAAGACGACAGGATGAGTGGATCAAGTTTCGGCTTAAAGCTCAGTTTTCTGCAAGTACTGACTGTCATTATGCTCCCGAATGTAAGTACACAAGTACTAAATAGAGACATTTAACTGATTAAACTGAATCTTTGATTGAAATATCGCCAGTTTCATGACTTAGGGAATCTGTGCTAAACTTTAGGTAAATTCACTCTTAATACACTCAAATATATTAAATATGTGCATTCGAATTTACTCGGGACTTTCCCTTTAACTGGATCATACCTGAATTACCTGGGACTCATTGGTTTGTCACAGCAGATAAATTTACTTTATTTCTCAGGGTGATCTGTGATCCCTGGTTTGACAGGAGCGATCTATGATCCCTGGTTTGACAGAACGATCTATGATCCCTGGTTTGACAGAACGATCTATGATCCCTGGTTTGACAGAACGATCTATGATCCCTGGTTTGACAGAACGTTCTATGATCCCTGGTTTGACATGATCCCTGGTTTGACAGAACGATCTATGATCCCTGGTTTGACAGAACGATCTATGATCCCTGGTTTGACAGAACGATCTATGATCCCTGGTTTGACAGAACGATCTATGATCCCTGGTTTGACAGAACGATCTATGATCCCTGGTTTGGTTTGACAGAGATCTCGATCTGGTTTGATCCCCCTGGTTTGACAGAACGATCTATGATCCCTGATCCCTGGTTTGACAGAACGATCTATGATCCCTGGTTTGACAGAACGATCTATGATCCCTGGTTTGACAGAACGATCTATGATCCCTTTTTGACAGATGATCCCTGGTTTGACAGAACGATCTATGATCCCTGGTTTGACAGAACGATCTATGATCCCTGGTTTGACAGAACGTTCTATGATCCCTGGTTTGACAGAACGATCTATGATCCCTGGTTTGACAGAACGATCTATGATCCCTGGTTTGACACCGTTGGTGTCACTGCTGTGAACGTGCGTCACGTTGGCCACCCTCCCACGTTATACCGTTCACTGCATTCGCTTACATATATGCTGACAGCGTCAAAGCATCACTTTTCCCATACATTACGTTTTTCCACAACCCGTGAATATACAAATATGGAATTGGAATCCGTTTCAGCTGATAGTAGAGATATTCTCTTGCGCTGAAGTTATATATTCTAGACAATACCATCTTCCATCGCACCACAAGATGTCGTACCATTACATGCTCTTTTCAGAGTTGCCAGACGGTGGACGTGGCACGACATTTCGGCAGATTTGTCGATGTGGAAGATGGAAAGATGTATCAGGTAAGTATTGCCATCAAATACTTCCTATTCACGGAAAAGCTGAACGTGTCAGGTCCCATCACGACACAAGTATCCATCTAAGGACTGGCTATTTGTTCACATGAAGCAAAGATTCTGACACACCGTTTGCGGATCCAGAGAGTGGTCTATTTTCAGAATTTGTTCCGTAAATGTTATGGTTTTTTTACATAAAATTTCAGTGATCCTTATATTAGGCCATACAATTCCAGTTTCCACCCTTGTCGAACTTGGCTGGATTCCATCACTCGATCGTAGCGCTGACAGTGGCTATTACGAGGCAAACGATAATTTTTAATGATTAAAAATTGAAATTTGATCACTGTTGATATTTCCTGATACATGTATGTGATATTTACGACGCCAAATCAAAATAGGATAGTATCTATTCACTATACTTTATCACTCTCAAAATAATTCTAAAAACATCACACCGCATATGACCGCAAACCTTAGTTGACATATATAGCTTCATATATGTCTGGCATAATACTAAATTTTTTCTGTCGATACACACAAACTGGAAACCCCCAACTAATTCTTAGAGATGGAAAGTTAAGGGTGAGCCAGGGACTGCTTACCGCGGGTTCGAATCTCATATCCCGATCGTAATGTGTCAATACCAAGCCGGACACGCAATAACCTCATTACACCTATCTCATATAAAGCTTCTGTCATTCATTATAAGCTGATATACACAGATATAACATACAAATTTAAACCTCACTCACTCACTCACTCGTTTCATCTTTCATTGCAGTCCTTCCTGTACGATCTCCTGAGCCAGGAACCTGAAGATGAGAACCTACACCATCCTGTGAGGAACACCGTCGACGGTGATCTCATTCTTACTCCTGAACAGAAGGAACAGTACCTTGAAGACAACAAGGTACCAGCTTCTGCCCAGCGATTTTGTTTGTCGTGTTAAGAATGATTGTAGTTATTTGATAATTTGTGGTTTGGTTAACGGGAAACTCGGCAATATTAAGCTATAAGACGGCTTTTGAAATAATCGTGTCGGGACCAAAAGTTCCAGTGACTGTTGAACATCATTCCATGCAGTTAAGATACGATGACATTCCAGCTTTCAAGTCACTGGCCAGGCCACCCTCGATCGAAATGTTCAGGGTGCTGAATTACAATATTCTCACTTTTCCATTGTTACTGGAATATCCGCATTTCCGAAACTTTTTTGTTATATTAAAAGGCACAATGTCACACATTTTCGACAATACTTTGGTCTATATTAAATATATTGGGGCATTTGCACTCATTGTAGCTTCCTATTGGTGCAATATAAGACTTATTGTCCTTTACGACTTGCCTGAAATTGATAATTAAAACTTCGAGGCGAATGGCTTCCAAACAGAGAACACATGCCATATGTGGAATCATTCGTCACCACTCGCCCCTTTCCGTAACCTCCAAGAAGACTCGCTATTCGGCTTGTCCCGGAATAACACGAGTTGGTCACGAATGCTATTCGGCTTGTCCCGAATAACACGAGTTGGTCACGAATGATGTGGAATGTAAACCAAAATTGCTCCGTGCATCGAAAACTGTCGCACGCGGCGTTGTCGGAGTTTGCCGAACTGGTTTTTCAATCACAAGTTGTGCGTAGGATATTCGTAAAGAGTGCTCCAGGGGACATAACTCTATGGCGTTCGTTTGAAACAATGTTTGGCCGGTAGAGGGCGCGAGAGTTGATTTAATGCAACGTTGCATTAATTCATTCGAACTTTTTAATTTGATATTGTAATGTAAATACGTAATTTTGTTTGGAATCAATTATATGGTAGCTTCCCCGAGGGCTGATAGTTAGTATTATTGAGAGAAATACATTATTTAATTTTAGAGAAGTGTGGTGTGATATAGTGCCTTTAATAGCCAATCGACTCCTCAAGCCTGACTATATGGCGGGTGAATGTTTAACGCAGTAGTATTCCAATTTAATCATGAGTATGAGCAACCAAACCAGAGCCTGGTCAAACTGACCCATGTACACTACAATCAGTCACACTGATTATTGTGTATTTTGTGATAGTCCGTCGTGTGTTGTGTTTGCAACAAAATAATGAATGTTACTACTAAAATTGATTGACTAACTTACTCTATCCCCTACACACAAACCCGTGAAAATCCGGGCTAGAATTGATCTTCAGTAACCCAGGCTTGTCGTAAGAGGCGACTAACGGGATCGGGTGGTCAGGCTCGCTGACTTGGTTGACACATGTCATCGTACCCCAGTTGCGTAGATATATGCTCATGCTGTTGATCACTGGATTGTTTGATCCAGACTCGATTATTTACGGACCGCCGCTGTTTAGCTGGAATATTGCTGAGTGTGGCGTAAATCAACAAACAAAACCCTACACACACCACCCATCCCACCCCACCGCCATACGGTTTCATTTCCAGAACCCTTTTTAGATTTTGAGATTTCGGGCAAGCAAACTCTATCCCAACTACATCATATATGTATTGTATCATGAAAGAGACTGATAATAAGGGGTGATATTCATTTGAGCCCGTCGGTGAATCTAGCTGGCTTGCTCAAAGTGCTGCATTATCATGCTAGATCAGTGTGCATTCGATTTCCATTCTCAGCCCCTTTAAAATGAGTGATAACCAAAGCGAGACCAACGAAGGTTAACAGTCACGTTAGCATCCCACCGGGTACCCATTCAGTGCAGGAGCATAAGGATGCTAAATATTCATGTGCCTTTTTTCAATATACTTCAGGCAAAGAGGAAAATCCTAAGTCGTGACTACATGCTGTGGCCCAATGGGATTGTGCTTTGGAATTTTGCTAAGGGAAAAAGACAATTCAGTGAGTTTCTTTACATGTCAAATTCACTCCGAAGCACAAGTACTGAATTACATTTTGTATATATTGAATCATAATATAAAAAATAGGCACGCGTTTGTTTGAATTTATACAGCAAAGCCCTGGCATGTATCAATACTAGTTTCGGTATGAATTGCTGTACATTGGTTCTTCAAGACAATTGCAGTGATTCTGAAACTAGTGGCCCCTCACTCGAGGGCTAGGGTTCAAATGATTTAAGAAAATGCAATAGAACAAACAGTGCCATTTGTGCATTAAAGGCATCTGCCATACGTAAAGGCTTGTGAATATTTGACTACAAATTGAAATTCAAACTTGATACTCACTTTCCAATTTAAAGTGAATTGGCTGTGACGTAATACGCAATTGACGTCACCCAAGCCACGTTGACGTCACCCAAGCCACGTTGACGTCATGCATGCCGTCCTGTCGTAGATTGTCACAAGACCGTGGATGACGAATAAAAAATCTATGAATTATTACAACGATGTCAATGTATGTTCCAGAGCGATCATGGTCTTACAGATCGGTGTTTCGGGCAATCCACCATTGGGAGAAACACACATGTCTCAAGTTCGTGAAACGTGGGTCAAAAGAGCATCGCCAGGCTAAGGTCCGCCACAGGGCTATAATCATATTTGGAACTGGGAAAGGGTACGTCCAAGCTGACCTTTCATGATGACCGCGTACAAATTTAAAGTACCCTTTACTTGCTGCAACCAGGGGTAGTGTTTTGAAATACGATGTTGTAGAAAAAATGTGAATTTCTTATGTTTCGGGTTCATGTTAACAGGTCTACAAGCCTTCAGCTGAACTTATGAAATTTGCAGTATGAGTCAATAAATTCCTAGTCTTGTCATATTATATGACGTAGTTGAGATGTTACTCCTTTTTGTGAGTTAAATGGGTTCCTATTTGGGGAAACTATTTATAGGACTCGTGGCTTCAGATGAGGGTAAGGGGGATGGGGGTAGCCAAGTGGTTAAAGCGTTCGGCCGTTACGCTGAAGACCGGGTTCGATTTCCCACATGGGTACAATGTGTGGTGTCCAGATATTGCTGGAATATTGCTAAAGGCGGCGTAAAACTGCATTTCGTTTTCTAGAGTTGCGTCCCTTGAGTGTGTAAGACGTTATGCTGCTTTGAGTCGACCCTTGGGTGTATAAGATTCATAATGCTGCTCATTGATGATGAATGAGTGAGTGAGTTCAGTTTTACGCCGCTGTCAGCAATATTCAAGCTTGATGGCGGCGGTCTGTAAATAATGGCTTTGTAGAGAAATTTACAAATTGTTTAAAAGAATGTTGTGTTACACAAGCCTTCTACACAAATAATCACGATACAGTGTTATTATTAATGCTATAAATATTCGAGTCTGGACCAGACAATCCAGTGACCAGCAGCATGAGCATCGATCTACGCAGTTGGGATACGATGACATGTGTCAACCAAGTCAGTGAGCCTGACCACCAGATCCCGTTAGTCGCCTTTTACGACAACCATGGGTTACTGAAGATCAATTCTAATCCGAGTCTTTGCGGGTCATTTTGCGTTGATGATAAGTGTTCATTAATATCACAACTGTGTAAAAACATTAAATATTTCTTAAAATATTGTTACTATAGTGCGACATGTTAACATACGACCAACTTTTAGGTATGTTTTCCAAAATGCCTTAATTACAATCGAAATATTTGAGAGTCAAAATTATTGTGCAGTTGTCTGAGTGACTGCAATTCGCTATGCAGAGTTGCGTCCCTTGGGCACGCCAGGAACCTATGACAGCGAGTTCAACAGGTTCCAGGTTTGACCTGGTTGTGTTTGTCAGATGTATCAACGGTTTTCACCATCTGAGATATGCATCACTCCGGTGTTCATCCAACACTGAACGAACAAACCCTGTCATAACTGAGAAAAACTGTTCTAATCAGCGTTATTAACATGATTAGGTAATTGTGAGAATTCTGCCGTCCATGACCTTCCTCATACCATCTCCTCTGAATACTTCTCGTACTCCTCACAGTTCCTCATTTCTGCAAATGCCCCACTCCTCTTTGTTGTCAGGTGTGCGTCTCCAGTTGGCTACACCTACGGCGTGCTCAACGTCTACCTCAACGAGAAATACTGCATGCGCGTGAGTACAGGAGTTGAATATCAGAGAATTATCTCTAAATAGTTTTACACATTTCTGATAATCAACTATAAACATTCTCATTCAGTCCTTTCTTCTCATTAAAGCGTTCCCTCGTCACGTCAAAGATCCGGGTTCGATTCCCCACATGGGTACAATGTGTGAAGTCCATTTCCTGTGTCCTGCGCCGTGATATTGCTGGAGTATTGATAAAAGCGGCGTAAAAACTAAACTCACTCACTCACTCCTTTCTTCTCATGCCTTTTAGTCAATTCACACATTATCAGACATTCATCCTCACATGTATCCTCACTATCTATTCTTTCACTCTCACATTCATTCTCATTTTCGTTCATTCTTATTTGGGGCGGTGGGGTAGCCGAAGAACCGGGTTCGATTCCCCATATGGGTACAATGTGTGAAGGCCATTTCTAGTGTCCCCAGCCGTGATAATGCTGGAATATTGCTAAAAGCTGCGTAAAACCAAACTCGCTCACTCATTCTTATTTATTCATATTCAATCTTTTTATCATATTTACGGTCATTCATCTACTCGTTTCAATATTGTCTCATACTTTCCATTTTTTATATTTATTGTTATATTCCTTCATTCGCATATTTTAAATTCATTCTCAGCGACATACATGCTCCTCATGCATTCCGGGTTAAAACTGGTCTTTTCCAACCCATGCTTGTCGTCAGAGGCAATTAACGGGATCGAGTGGTCAGGCTCGCTGACTTGATTGACACATGTCATCGTATCCCATCTGCGTAGAGCGATGCTCATGACGTCAATCACTGGACTGTCTGGTCCAGACTCGATTATTTACGGACCGCCGCCATATAGCTGGAATATTGCCGACTGCGGCATTAAACAACAGACAAACAAAACAAACACATGCATTCGTTCATTTTCTTGAATTTTATCCTTTGATCTGTTATATGTATGCTCATTGACCCACGTTGCAGTATTTATACTTTGTTTTGTTGATCGAGACCGCCTTTCTCCTTGCTCCAGAGGGGAACGATTATTCACGAAATCGGCCACGCCATTGGCTTCTTTCACGAGCAAGCCAGATCTGACCGCCGTGAGCACGTGAAGGTCATTGAAGAGAATATCAAGGACGGAAAAATGAAGAACTTCGTGATTATCCGTGGTCTGGCAAACAGGGCCAGCTACGACCTCGGCTCCATCATGCACTACGGCACGAAGGTAACAGTGACATGCCGACAACGAGGCTGACGACTTGTGGATAACAACTTCCGGTTGCATACACTACGTTTCGATGTTGATTCTTATAGTTATCAAGTTCCTAGACTAACGTTTGGTCTCTGAATACATATATTATTATAATAAAAACGAATAAATATACACTTGTACATGTATATACTTTTAATAGCAACAAATAATTCCTTGTACATTGAAAGGGAGCCCAGTGAGATGGGAGATTCAAAATGAGGAAATCTAGACTTGCTTCATTTAGGGCTTTAGCATTGCAGAAAGGGCTGGGAAGAAATGAAAATAATGCGTTCTGGGGACTGTGAGACAGACTATCAAGTTTCATTTTAAGTCGTATGCCGTTGTTTACTCACTAACTTCAAGAATGCCAATCAAACAACGATATACTTGCACGATGCCATCATAGGGTGACGACGGCCGTAACATGGTCTAAAGATGGTCAAAGAGCTAAGATCATTTTGTGCATGTGGTCCTTGTGGCCCCAAATGCACTTTAGCCAGTGTAAAGAAGGTACGATCTGGTCGGGTTCTCTTTTATATATTGTTTGGCCCACTGCAAACGTAAAATTTCAAAGCTACGGAAATCTTTGAAATATTGAACATTGCCAAACATGTCGGTCTTTTTCATCTTCCTTACACTGACTTGTGTTTAACGCCGCTTTTAACGGTATTCCCGTTAAATCACGTTGTGTCAGTTTGACGTGAGAGGAAACCCGTAGTGATGTTTCTGTCAGATTGTGGGTTCGAATCCCGATTCGCTTCTGTTGTATTCCTTAATTTGTCAGCGCCATGACCATACTCCTGGGTGACAAAGTGGAAAGTGTCTCCGACCTGCATTACTTCGGGCTTTCCTCCCAGATTAACCTGACACGCCGTGATATAACTAAACTGACGTACAAAAGAAAGTACACACCTGGTGTTTTGGGATTATTTGAAAAGTGTTGTGATTTTGACTGGCAACTTCGCAATTGGACACGATATCTGTGGTTGTTTTGGCAACATATTAGGAAAGTCTGTGACTTATATATCATTGTAAAAACTCTTTTCAAAACATTTACGTCGCTTTTTGGAAAGTATTTCAAAAGCACCGGGTGTGTACTTTCTTTTGTACGTCAGATTAGAATACTGTTCAAAGCAGCGTTAAACCAAATTATATCCTACCTCACATAAATGTCGTTGTCCGATTGGCTGAGCGCTCTTCTATTATTTTTAATGTACCCCGCTTACAAGCGAATAACATTTTCTATGTTACCCGCTGGGAAGTCATTTGGTACTTCTTGTTAGTAATTCTTTATCTCAAATAATTGAGTCACGTATGTTGTACGGAAATTACCGATGTTTTGCGAATGCAAATCGATGGAAGGGAGAACTCTAAATTATTATTTTTCTTGTCTGCTAGATTCTGTGTCATCCGAAAATCTAGTATTGGCTAATTGCCTAACTCTGGTACTCCTAATTATGATCCGATACCCGAATTTCAAACAGTTCAAAATTAACATTGAGTTAATTGATAAATACGTTGTTAACTGGTCACAAGAAGGACATGGGTTGATGTACCCTCTGATTGTTTATGTTCCCCTCGCCCTTCGGGCTCATTGAACATAAACAAACATAGAGGGTACATAAACCCATGTCCTCGTTCGTGACAAATGAACAACGTCTAATATCCACTCACTCACTGAACTTCTACCACGGAGAGACACTGCTTATTCGTTAAAACTGGAATTAATATTCAGTATTTCAGCAAAAATGGGAATAAAACGATTTCCCCTAAAATCAAGATGTTGACCTTTCTCATGGGTCAGAGACAGAGGCTGAGCTTCTATGACATTCAGGAGGTCAACCAAGCTTACAGATGTGCAGGTGAGTAAGGTGGCGATTGGTAACCAATTACCACCAAAAAATCCGAATGCACTCCCTGCAGTGTACATTTCAACGGTTATAAATGTCAAATTTGAATATGTTTTGGAATGTGTGCCGCAATGTGATTGGTTGAAAATATTTATTGAATGGCATTGGATCTCGGAAGTCTTTCGGATCTTCTGTGTATGAAGTTTTTTAAAATATGCCCTGTCATTCCCTTTGTATAAAATTGGTATTAAATAAATAATAAATATTAATCAATTGAATGCATATTTATTAAAGCAATTTCGATTTAGTTGGGGTGTTTTCACACTTCAAGAGGATTCAGTTTCAGGGTAGCACATATGACGTCATTATGATGTCATGGAGTTTCCAAATGAAAATGATTGAAGGACATTTATATTTCAACACCTTTATTTAAGCCAAATGCACCAATGCCCCGAAGTGTGAAAACGGGGGCTTCCTTCTGAAGTCCTGTCAGTGTCATTGTCCGGATGGTCTCGTGGGCTCTCGTTGTCAGAATATCAACTCACGCCACTCAGAAGGTGAGGCCGTCCAAAGTGCAACGACTTACGTTATTTTTATAGAACAAAATAGCATTGATGAACCAGTATCGTATTCTTCTTAAATACTGCATACTAATTGATTACATACACAAGATTTTAGGCCTTTAAAGTAATAAATCTCTGGAATTATGGCACAATGTCACTCATTTTCGACAACATTATGGCCTATATTATATATATTGGGGCATATGTAACTCACTTAAGCTTCCTATCGATGCAAAAAAAGTATCCCTTACTACTTGCCTGAAATCGATAATTGAAACTTCGAGGCGAACAGCTTCCAAACCGAGAACACTTGCCATATATGGAATGTAAACAATCGAAAACTGTTGCACGCAGTGTGGTCGGTGTTTGCCGAACTGGTTTCAATCACAAACTGCGGATAGGATATTCGTAAAGAGCGGTCCAAGGGATATAACTCTTAGGGATTCGCTTGATGTTCGGCCGGTGGAGGGCACGAGCGAGTCGATTTAATGCAACGTTGCATGAATTCATTCGAACTTTTTAATTTAATGTTAATAATCTAAATAGTATTTTTTGTTCTAGTTGTTGAATAAATTATATGGTATCTTCCCTGATGGTTGATAGTCAGTATTATCGAGAGAAATTGTGATATAGTGCCTTTAATGTACAAGCACAACAAGTATGTGTTGAGGCGAAAAATTGACTTTCCCTTTCAAAAAATTGTTTGGAACAAGTATGTTCTGTTCTTGTTTGTAACGGTGCAGGACATGGTCACATTTACATCAACACAGGTATCATGATTAAATGAATATGTTGTTTAAAACAAACATGCTTGTGATGTAGTCTTAATCGTTAGATTTGGTAGATATTTCGTATGCTTATGGAAAGTGTTTGGATGAGATCATTTTGTATTTCAATAGAGGAAAGCCATATCTTCCACTTGCCGTTTGGAGGATCCAGGCTTATCAAGTCGCCACGCCAACACAAACATACAACGGCAGTGTGGGTTGTCAAGGTAACGTTTTTCAAGTATTTTTGTGTTTCAAGGTTTCATCCCATTTTCCTGAAACAACTTTTAAGGTATGTCTGACCGCCCCGGTGGTCTAGTGTTTAGAGCGTCCCCCCAGAGAGCGGAAGGTCGCGGGTTCGATCCCCGACCGCGTCATACCAAAAGACGTTAAAATATGGTACTTGTTGGTCCCTGCCTGGCGCTCGGCATTAATGGGTACAACAAGGACTGGTCGGCTCGGAGTCAGTATAATGTGTCTGAGTGAGGTATTCATGCTTCACTGCGGTATGGTATCTCAGTGGGCTAGCACTATAAAACCAGCTTAAGTCTGGGCTAGTGCAAGCAGCTGCACATACACATACACACGCATGCATGTCGTCATATGAGCGAAATATTCTCAAGCACGACGTTAAACCCAATTTCACCTCACCTCACCTAAGGTATGTCTAAAATGTGTTTGGGTTTTGTTTTCGACCACTTCTATGACAAGTGGATTTCAAAATAAGTTTAAATTTGTTTCCCAGGTATAACTCTGACAGTTAAAAATGTCTTGATGAAACTTCATAGATATCAATCTAGCCATGAACTTGTGCCGTCTGTTACTACGGGTCCTCAACTTAATCTTAACGTCTGTGAACTTCATTCACCGGCTTCACTGTGAACCGATTTTTTATCTACTCCAATGGAAAAAGATAAAACGTATCGCTTTTCTTTCTTTCTTCTGGTTGGTTTTGGTTTGGTTTGTTTTTGTTTATGTTTATGTTTTGTTTGTTTAGTTTTGTTGTTGTTTTGTTTTGGGGTTTTTTATTTGTTTTTATGTTGTTTTTATTGTTTTCTTTTTGTTTTGTTTTGGGGGGTATTTATTTTATTATTGGGGTTTTAGGTGGGGAGTTGTTCTGTTTTTGTTTTGTTTTGCGGGTGGGAATTTATTAGCTCCTTAAACCGGAAAAATATATATTTGTCCTCGGTTCTGTCCACCAAGGTCACGCATTGCGACCACCCTTCTCTAATTCGGGGTTCTGGGGACCTATTCTCGGATTCCACTCGGAATTCCATTCATGAACCTATTTCGGGTTCAAAGGCGTATCATCACATCTTATGTGTTGGCGGTAGGTTAGCCAAGTGGTGAAGGCGTTCGCTAGTCTCGCCGAACACCCGGGTTCGATTCCCCACTTGTATGCAATGTGTGAATCCCATCTCTGGTTTTCCCACGCCGTGATATTGCTGGACTTGTTAATCTAATGTGAGATTTTGCTTTGAATTTTCAGAGTCCAAAGGGTACGACCATGAAAATACATCTGATCCTTGACCTTTCCTATAACCGTGCCTTACGACTTTGTCACCACTGGCTCGAAGTCCGCTTCAACCTCATTGGTCAGCCGGCACCTCGGTAATATTTTGTAAAGGGCTAAACCATATTGTCGCTGATTCACACTGAGAAAGGGAGGTCACTATAATTACAATCTGAAGCTATATCCGTTGTTTTCGTAATTGCAAAGAATGGCGTCACTCTGCATATTGTCTTAATATTGATTCGCCAGGATTCTGAATCAAATATTTTAATATAATGTATTTTCATCCAGCTGAGTTAGCTCCCTTTTGGAACCATCGATAATACGCATTCGCCGTCTAGCGGGCCTAAACAGATCATATTACATAACTTGTTTGGTCAAGAATCGTCAGGGGCGACTAGCGGAATCCGGTGGTCAGGCTCGCTGACCTGGTTCATGCATGTCATTGTATCCCCGTTTGCGGAGACCGCCTCCGTGGTGTAGTGGTTAGAGCGTCCGCCCGGAGAGCGGAAGGTCGCGGGTTCGATCCCCGACCGCGTCATACCAAAAGACGTTAAAATATGGTACTTGTTGGTCCCTGCCTGGCGCTCGGCATTAATGGGTACAACAAGGACTGGTCGGCTTGGAGTCAGTATAATGTGTCTGAGTGGGGTATTCATGCTTCACTGCGGCATGGTATCTCAGTGGGCTAGCAGTATAAATACAGCTTAAGTCTGGGCTAGTACAAGCAGCCGCACATACACATACACACGCATGCACGTCGTCATATGAGCCAAATATTCTCAAGCACGACGTAAAACCCAATTTCACCTCACCTCACCCGATTGCTGAGAACAATGCTCATGATGTCAATCACTGGAATGACTGGTCCAGTCTCCATTATGTATAGACCGCTGCCGATTACATGTAGCTGGAATACTCCTGAGTACATAACAAACACATGTTTACAAATGCTATCTACATGATTTCAGGGCTGCTGACTCTATATACTAGAGATACAATGCATCTCTACATGTAAGCTATATTCAGCAAAGGATGTAAATAGATGCGTCTAAGGTGTTGCGAAAATTGTTTCTGAATAATTCCTGGCATCTCACTTGAACACCTCTTTCAGTTTCTGTGGACGCTCAATGAAGCCGCTGAAACTCAACTCCACTTCTAATATGGTCATGTTGAAATTCGACAGCCGTGATCGCTATTACCACGCTAAAAGGGGCTTCCTTCTCCACATTGCTGTCGTACAGCCAATCAGTAAGTGTTAAGTAGTGATTTGGACGCCATTTTGAACGCTGCCCAGTTAGATCACGTCGTGTCAGCTTAATGTGGGATGAAAACCCGAAGTAACGAAGTACACCCCTTTGGTAAAACCTATGAGCACGGCATCGTGCTGACGGACCTAGTATCGGGGCGAGCAGGCACTTCGTATTAACGCCCCAAGATTCATGGTGAGTTAAAATATGCAACCTATCCAAGTCGTAACAGTATGGTTTAACGCCGCTTTTAGCAATATTCCAGCAATATCATTGCGGTCAACACCAGAAATGGGCTTCATGCTTGATACCAATATCTTTACCTGAACCCGGAAGTACGGCGTAACGAGCGACAGCCTGGTTCCCTGGGTATGCTGCGCTGGCGCATCACTGAAGCGCCATACCCAGGGAATCCAGACTGAACGAATGAGTTTAGTTTTACTCCGCCTTTAGCAATATTCCAGCAATGTCTTGGCGGGATACACCAGAAATGGGCTTCACATGTTGTACCCATGTGAGGAATCGAACCCAGGTCTTCAGCCTGACGTGCAAACGCTTTAACCAACAGATTGCACCACCACCCCATGGTTCATAATATCAATCACTCGATTTTTAAGCAACCGGCACAAAACAACGATGCACGTTAAATGGTGCTCCTGTTAAGCATACGACCCAATTTGCTGAGGAGCACGTCTTTGGCTGTTAGGAAAAGTGTAGATGCAGTAGACTACGGTTATAACGAACTCCATGAGACCACTAGTTTCAGTTCGTAATATCCGTAGTTCGGAGTACGCATTAGGACCAAAACATACAGCAAATGGTGAGGGCAAAAAAGCTCGTTATATCCGTCAGTTCGTTATAAATGTAGTTTAATGCAATGTACGTGTATATTAACATAGGAACATTGTGTATTTTGTAGATACTCGTGTCATTTGTACTTTCAAGGGAACGGACACCGACATGTGTCCATTCTATCAGCGCAAAGACGACGACATTGACTGGGAGATTTATACGGTAAGTACATTTGTCATAGTACTGTAACTTGGTCTAGTAAAATAATATTTGGCGGTCGCGCAATTTGGAACCACAACTGGTTCTTGAATATACGCTTGTCACCGGAAAGCTTAAACCGGAAGTAAGCTGGGCCCCGTCTCCCATATTGCAAGTTGGCGCGCGCAAAGGGAGCCGGGAACCAGCTTAGAGCCAGAAGAAGCGATTAACGAGCCTTATTAGCATGGAACGAAATGGCCGTACCATACAGATGTGTGGATATTATTGCTGTATTGATAAATGACATAATGATCAGCATGAGTTTAGTTTTTAGGCCGCTTTTAGCAATATTCCAGCAATGTCACGGCGGGGGACACCAGAAATGGGCTTCACACATTGTACCCATGTGGGGAATCGAATCCGGGACTTCGGTGTCCTCCCAGTTGTGAGAACTCCCAGTTGTGAGACACATTAATTAATGGTTCAGTGTACATAGGTGGTGTTTCCACATCCCTACAATGAAAGTGGGATCAGCCCAGTTGTTGAAGAGTACCCACAGGAGCCATAGTTCATTGATGAGTTGATTAATAAAATAGATTATCAAAGATTTTATTTACACAGAAGAAATAGTTCATTAAATATTTTATTTATTCAGAAGAATATGTAATTATGATAACACTTTTAATTGACTATTTCTGAAGTTTGAAAGTCATTTTGGTTTAAACATATTTTATTATTATTTATGAAAATGCATTGGGATTGGTGAACAAGCAGCATGCAACATAATTTACAAAATGAAATGGAGGATGTGACGTCATCGATATTGACTATTGCATAAATATATTTTTAAGTACATATAAATATATACAGATTACATCAAATACAACTATTCTCTAAGTAGTCATAATTAGAGAGTTACAGTTGTGTGTGTCTAACAAGCTATCACTCTGATATTGACAAGAGCAACATGGACTGTCTATTAAATGTCTGTTATACCTATCGGCGTTTAGGTCGCTGGACCCGAGCCTGAGGCGGCAGTCAACGATGTGACAAAAACAAGAGCCATAATTAAGGTCAATATAAATCTTGTTTTCGGTTTCTGTAATTAGGTTTTTAAATTCTGTGAGACCTACACAAAATGTTTCATTAAGTTACCTCCACAAGATTCAGTTACATAGCAAATCAGTAATTAGCTAGGGTTAATCCATTCTATCAGACAGGGGAGTATGGTGTGTTTTCTTTGTTAATTACCTACTCCACTGTCTCACTGGGAGTCTCACAATTGGGAGTTCTCACAAATGGGAGTAGACCGGGACTTCAGCGTAACGAGCGAATGCTTTAAACACTACGCTACTCCATTGCCCCTTAAATGTTCAGAAATGGCTCTGGTCAAAATGGGTTTAATAGGGAAAAATAACATTCCCAGATTCATCTGCTCAATGTATGAATATATATTACGATGTGTCATGATTATTTGTGTAGAAGCTAGTGTAACAAACATTCTTTTAAACAACTTGTGATTTTCTCTACGAAGCCATTAAACCCTCTATCCCCCTTTTTGTTACAATGCAGCCTCGAACACCATTAGCATTTTGGTTAACAGAGTTACGTCCCTTAGCTCTCATCCATCAGTTCTAATCTGATTCATCCCGAATTGTTCTGTCAATACAATATCCTCGCTCGTTTAGTCACCCAGGTGACACACGTCTACTTTGCCCCACTTTAGGCCTCATCCCACGGGACGATAACAGTGACCTTGGCCTAGATTTTCGAAGCTCTCTTAGCGCTAAGATAGTCGTAAGTTAATGTTAATGTATGGCACAAACGACTATCTTAAGAAATATTTGCTGAAAGCAGAGCCCATTTTACGATTATTTGCGGCTATATCATAAGCACGAGTGTATGAATCACTATATAACTGTGATGATGATGATGATGATGATGATGATGATGAATCTCAGGAATTTGTGATGATAAGAACGAGTGTATGAATCACTATGAAATTGATAAGCAGGAGTAAATGAATCACCATAATTTGCAATAAGCACGTGTGTATGAGTCAGTATTTTCCGATAATGTCTTTGATCGGCATTTTAGAAGTTGGGAAGTACAATATTTACAAACTTTATGGATAACAACTTTTTTATTTCCTGCCTGACAACGGTACAAGTATCTGTATCGAAACGTCGCACTCACGAAACAGAAGTTGTTATCCATAACATTTGTCAATACAGTGTTGTCTGGGATGATAGGAAAATGTCACTGTTCAATATGATAAGCGGGCCTTAGCAGAATTATGTTTTCGAGTCCATGTTGTTGCTATGGTTACTGAAAAATTGATATTACTGGGATCGTGTGCAGCAGTCTGATTGTTGCGAAAACGCTGTAAATATGATAAAATAGCGAAAATCATTCGGACTTTTTTCTACGGACAAAAACCTTTCCATATGAATAGATTGCATTTTACTGTCATCACACCCGACTCCCTTGAAAAAAGTCTGAAGAATTGAAAGTTTACAATTAATTATCTAGGACAATATTACGGAAGCTGATTATGTCATCCAGTTTTTATGACGTCATAACATTTAAAAGTTGAGTGATATCTTTCTTTGGACCGTGAGCGACCACTTGCAAACCGAGGATTGACTTTTACTGAGCAGGGGCGGATAAGTCATGGATAAATCATGGATAAATCATATCCAAAGGTAACGGGGAAATGCTCTTCAGGGAATATTTAATTCGGGGTCGGGGTCGGGGTCACACACACACGAATACACAAACACACGCACACACACACACCTAGGTTCGTCCCTGCTGAGGTTGTAATGACTGCGGCGGCATAAAACCTTACTCAGCCTAGACTGATGTGGAAATGTATGCGTTTTATGCATTAATTCCTTTGTCTTTTTCCAGACTGTTCAAAGTGATGAAGACAGTGTGTCCTATATGTCATTAGATTCCGGTTACGAACCACAGGGAGGAACAGCCATTTTACAGAGTGCTGAAATACTTGGTAAGAGAGAGTGAGTGAGAGCGAGTATGGTCTAAAGTCGCTTATGTACTAGCTGTGTTCACGTATCCACCGAAGTCAATAATTCCACCTGGTGTATGTGGTCACTTTCCCGACAAAGACAATTGATCCATTGGGTTCAGCTAACATTGCACGTCTTTTTAATATGACATGAGATGAGTTATCTAAACGGTTTCACCAGTTATTGCTATGAATTTGTTTTGGTTAGATAGCATGAGTGAGTGAGTAAGTGAGTTTAGTTTTACGCCGCACTCAATAATATCCATGATCAACAGCATGAGCATCGATCGGCGCAATTGGGAACCGATGACATGTGTCAACCAAGTCAGCGAGCCTGACCACCCGATCCCGTTAGTCGCCTCTTACGACAAGCATAGTCGCCTTTTGTGGCAAGCATGGGTTGCTGAAGACCTATTCTACCCCGGATCTTCACGGGTCTTTGTTAGATAGCAGCTTTTGGTCGTTGTTGTAGTGTTTATTGTTATTGATGTCGCTTTTTGTTTGTTTGTTGTTTCAGGCGATTTTTTCTTTTGTTTTACTTTGATTTTGTTTTGTTTCCTTTTCTATTTAAGTGTTGTTGTTTTTAAATACCCACCCACCCACCCACCCACCCACACAGGTGGTGTGGGGCGGTGGGATACCCTGGTGGTTAAAGCGTTCGCTAGTCACGCCGAAGGCCCGGTTTCGATTCCACACATGGATACAATGTGTGAAGCCCATATCTGGTGTCCCCGCCGTGACAATGCTGAAATATTGCTAAAAGTGGCGTAAATTCTCTCAGTGCAGGGGATGTTTGCGATAGCAGAACACACTGGTTCGTCATTATTCAGTCATAAGCTTTGCCCTAGAGGCCTTGTTCTGAAATACGTCCGTTTTACTGTTATACTTGTAGGCGGCGATCCTAAATTGGATAGGGCCCGTACGTAGGTCACGACACTTCGCGAGACCTTAATACTTCCTCTGACAACAATCCTTTTCGAATAGTCTCGTGGTTGTCAGTTGACAGTAAGGAAGCGATAATCCTTGCAGGAATAACAAATTTCTGATCTAACCATTCCCGAATTAGCCAACGATTAGGACTGCCAACAGATGTGACAGCCAAGCATGGTTGTACACTTGGTCCGGTCTAGTAAAGTCATATTAAAATAATATTGGCGGTCGCGCAATTTGGAACCAGAACTACTCCTTGAATATACGCGTGTCACCGGAAATCCTGTACTGGAAGTAAGCTGGGCCCCGTCTGGCATATCGCAAGTTGGCGCGCGCAGAGGGAGCCGGGAACCAGTTTAGTACCGGAAGTAGCGCCTCACGAGATTTATACGCCCTATATGGATGGTCAGGCTCGGTTGACTTACACTTTTCGTCAGAGATGCCCTTTTAGATCAGAACCGCGCAGATAGACTAGTGGAAGACGTTTTCTCTCGCGACGTCGAAGCCCCAGGTTTCTTTCCCCACGTTGGTGCTGAGTTTGTTGCCGCCGCCGATATTGCTAGAAACTCCTAAAATCGTCACATAATCTGACTCATTTAGTGATTCTTTTTATTTTAGAGGGTTCTTGGTGCCTCAAGTTTCTTCACTTCGTGAATGCTGCAGAGTCACGTGGGTATATGTACGTGGTTGCCAGGACAACCAAGAGGACTGGGAGATGGTACCTGTGGGGCACTTCGCAAGGTAGTGAAAGCGAGTGGTCTGCTGTTGAGCTGTCTGTTAAGAGCAAAGATAGATTTGTGGTAAGTCCGATAAGAAAAACCCCAACATATTTTAAAGGAGGGATTAACATTTGGGCACCATTGCCATTTCGTCGGGGACACTTGCACCTAACTGTGATAATGAGTCGCCATTGACGACCTTGGGCTATATCATCCCCGCAACGACAAGAGCCAGCTATCTGATGGGACATATTTATTTATAGCCAATCAGATGGCTGGCTCTTGTCGGTGCGGGGCAGGTCAAGGCCAAGATCGCCAATGTCGTTTGGGCACGACACCTGTTTGCGATGAATAAATGTACGAAAAATCTTTACAGATATGTCACACCAACCCACACGAGTCCTCCGTTCCGGCGCCAACTGGAGACTATCTGTCGCCCTTGTCTTTCTAGCTAGCGTTCATTCTTATCATGACGGTAACCATCGTATTGGGGTCGATCGATTTTGTTATAATTTTCTAAAGAGTTTTGCTATGCCATTTTTACATTACAACACTATCGACCACTATGTTGTCTGGCCCGGGTCATTAAATACATGGCAGCAGGATATTGATAATAACATCACTTACATAACACTGAACTCCACGCCGTAGACATTTATTAAGAAATGAAATATATCTCCAGTTGGTTTAAAGATATTTGTATTCTATTTAAACATGTCAATAATGATTTGAAGATATTGGTAAATAATTGAAGATATCTTTAATTAATTGAAGATATCCAACGAGAATTATTGACATCTCAAAATGTCATAGAGATATGAAGAACATATTTCGTGATATCTCTGAATGTGTTTAAGAGATCAGTAAAACAATTACGATCATAGTGTACATACTTGTATAAAATACAAGGTATCTTAAAATAATTTACACATTTACATGATTGTGAGTGTAAACGCCAGATTGAGATAATGATAATAGTAATTGGATACTTTTATAGCCATGAACCTCACACCGCATGGGCATGCTCTAAGCGCATACAACATAATAGACATTACCCCGGTTAACCCATGCTGCCTGTGAGGCGCCAGAACGTTGTCAGTCACATCTATTCTACCGGGTACCCATTCATTGCTGGGTCAACAGAGGCAAGTTTTAGCAAACGCACTTGTCATATTGCTGCAGTGCTTCTGACACCATTACACTTTAAGTATATTATTTATGATTCAGATCCAGTTTATAGGCGTTCTCAAGGACCATCTGACGGTCGGTGTGAGCATGATAGAGCTTATCCCCAAACCATGTGAGCACCCGACTAAGTCTGTGGATCTCGTCCACAAGAAAGGTAAACCAAACGCCAAATACTAAACTGCTATTAAGCTGAATCGTTTCTGATTTTTCGTAAAGCCCTAATAAGACTTACAAGAAAGTTTAAGATTTACATTCTGTGGACCCCTGAAGATCCGGGTTAGAATTGGTCTTCAGCAACCCATGCTTGTCGTAAGAGGCGACTAACAGGATCCGGTGGTTAGGTTCGCTGGCTTGGTTGACAAATGTCAGCGTGTCCCAACTCCCTGGCAACGGTATACTAAGGAAATGGGAGATTATTTAACAGCTGCCACAGTGACATGTGGAGGAGTTTAACAATTTTTTCTGTTAATGATTAATTTGCCCCAATTATGGTCCCCGTCGCCACCTCGAGCTCATGTTTGTTGTGAGACTGGTTGATGTGTCAAAGGACAATGACAGGTGCTTACTATCCAGGGGAAACAACTCTAGATACCGGAAGTGATAACGAATGACGGCATTCAAATGTTGATAAGTATCTGGAAAGTGATCGAATGTTTTGCACATGCTACTGGGATATACTGTTGTGACAAGGTATATTTATTGAAACTTCAGTTTGACTCTGGATCAGACAAAATAACGTTTCGTTGTAACTGCCGATATTAGTCTTTCTTTAGCACTTCCATGGCGATGATAGGCGATTATACCACCATCCTTTAGTTTCTGAATTCATAACGAAGAAGGCTGTTGATAAGGCCGCCAGTATACCATAATGACGTATTATTGATTGTCCTGAACACCCAAGTTGTAGTAATCTGCCCACTGTTTCATGTTGTGTTCATAACATTGATTAAAATGCCAATAAACCAACAGATCTCAAAGTGGCTTTCACGTGCGACTTCGATGTCGACTGGTGCGGATTTACGGATGGGAATGACGTCACACCTATGTGGAGCAGACGACAGTCATTTCCGGTCGTTGGGCCGTCACGTGACCACAAGCAGAAGGGCCTTGACAGTGGGTTTTACATGAGCAGAATATCGCCATATCAGGTATACCAACATTTGGCAAGAAAAAGCAGATTCTGGTTTCTCAAAATGCAAAACAAAATTAATTTTAGGACATAATTCGATAACGTAATGGTTGATATGCTTATTGAAAACAGGTATTTAGGGTGCAACAGAGATATGAGGATCTACGGATAAGGAAGTTGTCATTGATAATAAAATTTTGTCTTTTAAATTCGCCAACTTCCAAAATACCAATCCAAGCCAAACTCAAATCTGCTGTGACAACAAATCGGTGATTAAAATCAAAGATCTTAAGTATGGGTACAATGTGTGAAGCCCATTTCTAGTGTCCCCCGTAGTAATATTGCTGGAATATTGCTAAAAGCGGCGTAAAAGCATACTTCCTGCAAACTCGATGATATGCAGGTCAGTGTCCTATAGCCCGAATGTTGCTGAGTGGGCGTTGAAACATTTATCACAGATTTGTTTTCGAGTAAATCTGCAAACATGCCAGGTTGACCAAATGCAGACAACGTTGGAGCATGAAATGACAGTCACTCTGCTTTGACATTCCAAAACTTTTTGTCATTTTCCTGGGATAAGTCAATAAGTTGTTTGGGATGCAAAGGAGCAAGGACCAAGAGGTGATGATGAGCCTAACAAGCCTGACTGAGCCAGGATCACCCAAACCCTCTTCCAGCTTCATGGGCATTGGGGTACCCCAGTGGTTAAAGCGTTCGCTCGTCACGCCGAAGACCCTGGGTGGATTTTCACATTGAGCCCATTTCTGGTGTCCCAGCTAGGCCGTAATATTGCTGGATTATTGATATAAGCGGCGTAATACTAAACTCACTCACTCACTCATTCCAGCTTTAACGTATTTTAATCTGTGGGAAAAAATTGTTTAAACACTGCATGGCTGTGTTTCGACAGGTACACTTGCGTGAAAACGTCATTAATGTCATTATTTGTTTCCCAGACTGAACGAGCCGGACGACTTGTCAGTCCCACCCTCACGGCTGTCAATCATTACGGATGTGTTCGGTTCTGGATATACGTATGGGGCTTCTCGCCAGGCTTCATGACCGTGTATCTACAAGATGGCCGCGGCTCGCGGACTGTGGTCTGGAGATCAGCATACCTCAGTCCAAACTTCTCCGACTGGTCACAGATAACGGTTCCAATAAAACCAACCTCAAAAACATACAAGGTACGAGTATTCAATATACCAATGTTATCAATCAATCGATCAATTACCGAGCCAAACAAGTACCCTGCACCACGTACTATTATTTTATTTATGTATAACTGACTATTTTTTAAATCTATATTTGACAGGGTCGTAGCTACCATTATTTAAAAAAGCCCGGGCTTACACATGATTGTTGCTAAAAAGGTCGGGCAAGCCCACAATACTATCTATATTTAAAGCTTTGCAACCTATCCGGCTTACACTAAAAAAATTGGCTTGCCACGCGCCTGTTTGACTGACCGGGTGTTATAATGGGCAGTGTTGACTGAATTGGGGTCATTTTCTAGCCCTTGTGGTATGTCTGTAATTATCCTGCCTGTGGCGTAAAATAACATTCGGTCACTCAAAAGTCGTATTTGTACACTGGGTGGTTTCTGTGCGGCGTTAAACAACAAACCAACCAACCAACCACGTGAAGTTTCATTCTCCGTGACATTAACAAGGGCGTCAGGATAGCCTAATGGTTAAAGCGTCCGCTCGTAATGCTGAAGACCCGGGTTTGATTCCCAACATGAGTACAATGTGTGTAGTCCATTTCTGGTGTCCCCGGCCGTGATATTGCTGGAATCTTGCGAAAAGCGGCGTAAAACCATACTCACTCACTCAACCACTCAACTAACAAACATATCATCAAAACATTATGAGTTCCGTGCGTCTCTTTAATTGTTTGGGATTATGAAAAAACGACCCCTCATACGCACTATTGTTACTTCTTTGTTGTTGTTTAACGCCGTCACGGCGTAAAACTAACTTCACTCACTCATTTCAGGTGTCCCCGCTCTGATATTGCTAGGATAGTGGTACGAATCGCCTAAAGTTTACTCATGCTTCTGTTTCAGATCATCTTTCAAATGAAAGTAACTCACCGATGGGGAAATATGGCACTTGATGACGTCACGGTATTGGATAGTTACTGTTGATATAGCAATGTATTTCCTATCAGTGAAATAAATTGTGACACACTTTTTGACGTTGTGGGGTCAGTTCAGTGTTATGCTGCTGCTGCTGCTTAGTTCCCGTAAGTAGGTCATGGCACTTCACGAGACCTTACGTTGTTTAGTACTTCCGGTGATAAACAACGTTTCATACCTTTTCGAATGGTCTCGTGGTTGTCAGTTGACAGTAAGGAACCGTTAAAGATCACATATACTCTAGCGGGTACAGATACATAAATCACAAAATGGCATCGTTATAAATGAAACCCCTTCATTAAAACTACTCATTTCGATCTTTAATTGACTTAAGTCGACCTTTTTGACAACAGTGCACAATTCTCACCCGCGAACGATATTTCAACCAATCAGAGGGGCGCGTCTCCGTGACGTCATGTGAGGAATCGATATGAGGGCCGATGTAGAATTCATGTACATTTCAGGGGGTAAATTATCTTGTTTACAGGTTTGTATAAACCTGAAATCGTGGCAACTGTTGTGAAAAATGAAAGCTATATGTTCTCACAATCTACTGTCATTTAATTTTGTCACCTGCTTTACCTAGCTTCCGAGTTACAACTTGTTTTCATAGACGATTCTGGCAAAATCGCTTGGTGTCGCTAGGCCTTATTTGTTCGAGCCAGACGCTTGTGATAGTGAAAACGATGATCAGCCTCGCTCATCACCGTTACGGTTAATTTTTTCACCCTAAACAGGAAGGGTGGATGCCCATCAGATGCCGTTATTTGAAAATGTCCCCGGTAGTTCTTGTCTGATTGTAATAACGTATCAAAGCAGTGTGGGCTTTTTCAGGTTTCTAATGCCTGGATGGTATAATGACTGATCATAATTGATCCCATTTCTGTGGGGTTTTAACCTCGATATTTAATCATGTCATGTAAAAATATGACGTCTATTACGTATGATATTAAAAATTGACATTTGACTTATTTGAATCTGTAAACTAAACAACCCCACTTTGCCATTGCTAGAAGAATCTGAAAATTTACTTGGGTAAATAGGTACATGCAGTTTTAGCACACAGCACATGCTTATATGTATTTCTTATGCAACAATGAAATTCTGTTCGTATTCTCAAAACGGTGTCGACCCATAAGTTTTCACATGCAATACAGCAATTAATACTCCCTGGTTGTTACCCGTGTTAGGTGGTATAAACCTACACATGTTATTTGTCATCATTCACTTGATGGTCAGTTAATGAATTTATAACACGTATAATTAGTGGTAACACCACTTAGATTACCCGACAAAATTTCCTGTTACGACGTAAATTGTAATAAAAACGCAAATTGTAATACTTGCAGCAAATTGTAATAAACTTGACGTAAATTGTAATTGATTAAATGTTATATTTGAATATCGAAACCTTTTTGTCACAGCGAACACAACACTATCTCTTGTCATATAACACGATAATATTTGGAATTTTTAACTTATTTTATAACAATATCTGAATGCTAATGTTATACACTGATAGGTTCATATAAGGAATACTATAGCACAATAGTATTTCTCTGCCGAATCGTTGCAGCGTTCCAGTATACACTTATGAAATATAATACATGTTTTCCATCCTTGAAGTCATTAACAAGAATTATGCATTTTCTGCAGTCACTTGTGAATTGAACTAAATGAAGGTTCATCTTGTTAATGAGTATCGAGGAAATTATGTTCATCTATAAATTAGACGCAGCTTCATGTTTTTCAAGACATCTTTCCGGAATATGCGTCTGTGAAGACGTTCAGATAATGACGATATTGCACAGTATTATTCATGAGATTCTTGTCAAAAGTAAGGTCGGATAATAGATCGATTTTATTCAGCAGTGTTGGCCCTGGGGCCTATAGTACGATTACAGTTTGATTACTTGCACCTGGTGCTAGTAACATGTTAAGTTTCTATTGGTATTGAATGCATATTTCAGATAAAAGCTATGGTATTAATTACACAACATTTATATTGTTTGATGTTAAAGGTCACTTGATGGTCAGTTAATGAATTTAAAACAGGTATAATTAGTGGTAACACACTTCGATTACCCGACAAAGGTTCCCATTTGGCATTTCTTGTGTCTGGAGTAAATATTCAACATTATAAACATCGATCAAAGGATTAACCGATAACACGCTGATTGATTAATTACTTTTATCTTACACAGCGGAATTGTCAAAGTGTAGTGTTTATGTATGTAGATTTACTAATCTATACTGAATACACTCTGCCGTGTCGGTGTCTGCGTAAAACAACGTCCTTCTTTCAAAGGATGAACCGGCAATACATTGATTGATTGCCCATTATTGGCTAACTAAATTACTGTTTTTAATGAAAGGCGGACATTATGCAATTAGTTGCCAGGTGTGCTATCTTGGGTGACCAATGAGACTATACACCAATACCTGAAAAGATTTATCACTTTTACAGTATATTAAACTGTTAAAAGACACATCATTTGGAACAGTTTTGTGGATATTGATGGATACATTCCTCAAACAAGGTAATGGCCTGATATTGTTCCTATAACTTTAATCTGTTTTAATTTTAATATTTGCATTTTGTTTTTATTCATTTGTCGTTAAAAGCATTCAACAGAATCATTGTTTTCGCCGTGAAGTGTAATGAGACAGACAACATACACTAGGGTGTGTGTGCGAATTATGATTCACATTGGCAAACTATAAAATGTCTAGATATTACAGTTCTGTTATAAATTCACTTTGAGTATCAGCAGATCGTCAGCTTTTTATTTAGTTGCAAAATGCATAAAAGTATGATAATAAACTAATTAGGATTATAAGACCAAATATAAAGACGCACATTGACTAGTATCTACATACTGGTGAGTGGACATTAACCATGTGAATGTAGCAAGAAATTTATCGCGCAGTATTGTGACTTCGACCCCCACCTCGCTTCCGTCGAAGAAATCGTTATGTTATAAGCTGTGTCATGCAAAATCCTTTTGGTTATGATTCCAATACATATTTAACTACGAGTAGAAAGTAGTTTTGATTTTCTAACTTGATGAAAACAAACTATAATCTCATTAATTCTAACAGACTTTACGATTTTCAAAAATGGCGGCGCCCTGTCGGGAACATCCGCCAGTCTGTGGATAAATGCTATTTAGGTTTGTTTTCACCGAGTTACAAAATCAAAACTACTTTCTACTGGTAGTAAAATATGTATTTTATTGATGGCCAATAGGATTTTGCATGACATAGCGTATAACATAACAATTTCTCTCCTGGCAGCGAGGTGGGTGTCAATATAATACTACTTACAATATTATTGTTACTTCGACCACAACCTCACTTCCGAGGAAGAAATCATTATGTTACAAGTTGTGTTATGGAAAATCTTTATGGTCATCAATCATATACATATTTTACTATAACTAGGAAGTAGTTTTGATTCTTTAACTTCCGTGAAGCGATCTGAACACAAGTAAGATATCATTTCAGGGTCCACAACGCTCGCTTCGCACTCACAAACATAACCCATTTAGCACGAACTGCGGGGTCCTGTGGAAATCTGTGCATGGTGACACCATCACCCGACCCCTAGGAGCAATTGACGACAAAGCAACGATTCGGCATGTCGTCGTTCATGTCGAGAAATCATCAAAATGATGAGCGTGCTACACACTTTCTATACAACTAACTGAAAATCGTTCCTCATATGACGTCACTGCAGTGCTCTGGCGACAGAGTTACGTAACCTGTCTGTGGTTTCGTTGGCGGGCGAGAGGGGAAGCAGGCGACTCTTTGGCCACTTTTAATCGCTCGGTATTAATTAACCACAAGTTTTTAAAGAATAAATTTGGTGTTCCGCATAAGACTAACCACAAATCTTTCATATGTAATGGTTAAAAGAGTAACAAAAAACAAAGTTTAGTGGTTCTTTAAAAGATTTGGCAATGTGTGTTCATACATTACATTTTTTGACAGACTTGGCAAATAATTAAAAAAATGATATTGATAGCATCTTCACGACTTGGCCATACAGTCATGACAATTCAAGGAGTGAAAAGTGAGCGATAGGTCTTGTGGGAATTCAAAGATTCATTAAGACTGTAGCGGTCTAAGCGTAACTCTGTGTGTAATATTTATACATTTTCTATCCACGGACAACATGCTTCTAATATTAATATTATTTTGATGGATTCATCATATTTTATCTATAGCTGTGCTATAGTTTTTCATTAAAATGTCTTTTCTGTTGCTGGAATTGAAGTAAGTCCCACACAGAGCTGAGATCATATGTCTTTGAAATATAAATTATGCAAACGGCTGGAACCTTGTGTTCCAATACAAATGTTCATAACGCTACGACATTCGCATGCCTATGATAAACTATAGAGTTGGCCTCAACCATTGACTGGATTACATTCTCTTCGTCAGCAGAGAAATTTCGACTTCTCTCTTTCCTTGGGGTGCAGGCGACATTTTGCGTTTCCATTTTTGGTAAACCGGAAGTAAACGGAACTATGGGACATATGGAAGCTAACCAGTGACCTTAACCACACTATTAAACTTTGACGGCGACGTTAGCTAACGGTATGACTAACCATGTTTGGAACAACGCATATTTAACGTTCGGTTACCTAACGGCCGGTTAAGGATTTATCCGGCCGTTAGGAGTTAACCGGCGGTTAAGATAACCGAATATTGAACAACCGGGCCCATATAGATAGTTAGTTAACCAACTAAGTACGTTTCCACGAACACCATCATTTACTAATTTGTGCAATAAACCTTTATGCCATGCCCTGTAAAAAGCTTTTGAAATATCACAAAACAGCATACAGTAAAGGTGGTGATTATCTAGGACTGAGCATATATTATGATAAATGTCTATGTTGAGATGTAGTAGAATGACTAGCAGTAAAACCTGACTGGAATTTACCTAAAATGTTATGTTCATGGAAATGGTCGTGCACATGCTTTACCATTATTCTTTCAAGGATTTTCCAAAGGATAGGTATTAAACTAATAGGTCTGTAATTAGTTGG